ACATATACATATACATATATAAATTTACATATACACATACACATACACATACACATATACATATACATATAAACATATAAACATATACATATATTTGTCCCAGTTACAGATCATGTCACATGAGTTGCATTCTGAATTTCTTGCAAAGATTTTCAGTTCGTCTGAAAATCCATGCAAGAAACCGCTTGTTGACATGAGGACGAGTTACGTGAATATGCTCTTCAGATTGCCGAAGGAACTCTGTCGGTGTCAAAGATCTCCCCAGAAAAGCCTTTTGCATGGAAGCCTCGCTATTCCAAAAAGGTGCGGAGGGCCCAAGGCAAGGGCAATGGGACACGCAAGCAAGCCTTGGCAGAACCGGTGGAGCCTGTTGAAGAAGGGGATTGTATGTCGTCTCCGGAGCCTCTGCAAGACATGGAGGCAGGTGAGCAGTGTGATGAGGACAGTGAGAATATTGCATCCCCGGACGAAGACAGCGATGATGAGGGCCGTGCGCGGTCGGTGTCGTTGAGTATTCATGGCTCTGCAAGTGACGAGGAAGCAAGACCAGGTGCAGTGCCTGCTCAGGGATCTGTCTGCAGAGGTGCTTGTCTGAATAAGGGTGGTTTGGGAGAGCATATATGCTCGTATATGCAAGCATCGTGTTTATATAGGTGCATCGGAGCCTGCGCACAGTGCTCATCATGCAATACTTTGCCGGCTGCTGCAAGAACAGAACGCGAAGTCTCCTGTCTGTATTTCTGGGTGGGGTAGTTGCTCACTTGACCCTATGTCTGTTTCTATGTTCAAAACTGCTGCGACATGTAAGGTCCCATGGTCAGGATATGGATCAGTATGAGACTCTGCCTTTGGATCTGGTGAGCCCTGCTACTGGACGTCGATTTTTCATGCTGAGTGTCATAATTACAGAACTGGTGACTCACATTTCTGAGGTCAAGGATGGAGCGGCTGTGCTTGTGGTGGATGAGACTCCTGCCTGCATGTACTTGGAAGCTTGTTGCTTGTTTCGCCAATACATCCCTGTGTGTTACATGTAAAAACAAGGAGCCCCGACAACAAACCGCCCACGCTGCATTATGAGTATGTCAGTGGGGAGGAAGCCTTGCGCTGTGAAGGCGACAGGATGCCACTGGAAAATCCAAGCCAAGTGGATGTTACGGATTCCTCGGACGTGGAATCTGTCTCTGGATGTGGAGCTGCGACAGTTATGGGGGAATCGCCCATGCATGAGCTAGACTGGCCTTTTAGTGACCATCCTGAAGCAGTCATGCTGGACAGTCCCCCTGCAGACCATCCCCCAACCTTGCATCGGCAGAACTGCTGTGAGAACTTTGAGGCGGCCACCGAGGCTTCCGATGAGCCTCGAAAATCTTTGATTGCAGAGTTCGATATGGAGTACAATGTGTGGAAGAACCGTGGTCCCAAAGAGCCCGTATGGGCCGAGCCGGCTGAGGCAGCTGCTGATGGGCACGAGAAGGGAGGCCCGGATGGAACAGATGCCCTGTCTGAGCCAGAAGCTCCGGTTCTGACACATGCAGACCAGATGCAGCTCCGCCGTGAGAGAAGGGAGGCCACCAAAGTTCAAAGGGGCAGGGGGAGGGGCGGGCATGCTGGGGAGGTGCCCGCACCCCGTGGCCGGTCTCGTGGTCGTGGTCGTGGTGGGCGGGGGCGCGGACATTCGAAGGGTTTGACGGTCACGCCTCCGCCAAAGGATGATTTGCAGCCCCCTGCAGAAACCCCAATCGATGCCAAAGCCAAGCCATCCAAGCCCAAGGGCAAAGGCGCACGCAAGAAGCCAGATGCGGATCCTGCTGAGGATGCAAAGCCTTCCCCGGCTGAGGTTTCGGCCAAGGGCCGAGGGAAGGGCAAGCGTGCGGGAACGCATGACAAGACCAAGCCCAAGGAAGGAGCTAAGCGATCCAAGGCCCCCGAAAGTCTAAGTAAGGCCGCAAAGCGAGCAAAGTTGGGTGATGATGATGTTGAACTGCCGAAAGCTGAGAAAAGCAAGTCTCGGTGCAAAAGGGCGGTTTCCGGTGCCGAAGAACCGGCAGCAGCAAGGCCAGCAAAGGTGCCGAAGCAGCCTAAGGACAAGTGTGACAATGGTAAGGAGGCTGGGGACCGGAAGCTCAAGGTTGCCAGAGGCCCCACCCAAGCGGAAAGGGCCGAGCTGAAGAAGTTTTCTGGCTTGCACGTATATGCACGCCTTCATGCAGTTGAGTGCTGTTTCTTTGGTGGGTGGGTGGTGGTGGTGGTGGCGGTGGTGGTAGTGGCGGGTGGGTGGGTGTGTGTGTGTGTGTGTGCGGGTGGGTGGGTGTGTGTGTGTGTGTGTGTCTGTGTCTGTGTCTGTGTGATGGCGTAGCCGAGGCTGGGAAGTAAGAGAGAGACAGAGCATGCAGTTTGTCTTTTTTCAGGAACTTGCGAGGCTCGGAAAGGTAGGCGAACTTCAAGCTGGCAGTTTGCTGGCGTCGGGCTCCTGCTAGAAAAGTACGAGGCTACAGTTGGGGGCTGGGCTGTTCTGAGGGTAAAGGGCTGCAATCAGCACCGTTGCTTGCAAAGCTTGCCCAAAGCTGCGAGCAGAGGTTGCTCGGCTTGTCGCCTCCAGACAGTAGAGAACACGTAGTCTAAGATCTCGAAGCCGTCTGGTGTCTGCCGTCGGGACTTGGCTTCTTTTGGAATCGTCCGCTTTAAGACGTCCCAGCACCTGTCGAGACTTTGCGTGCCTGCACTCCGGCCTGCAAGTCTTACGACGAACTCGGCCTTAGAGTGCTTGACATGAAGGACAGTAAACTTCTTCTTGTGGCAGGCGGCAGCAGCGGCACTCCAGGCAGTAGCTCCGTCTGCCATGAGTGTGCTGCCTGCTCTCACCTGCCTCAAAAGTTGGGAACTCAGAATCTCCCGCACAGATTCTGTAGGTGGAACAGACTTTGCCTGTACTAGCTTCTGCTCAGCTGAGGCGACACAGAGTTTGCGTGTGTCTGACCGCTGTACAACACCGAGCAGCCTGACATGCAGCAAAAAGTAAGCAGGCCATTGCTTTCTGGGATTCTTGAGACGCCACTCACGCACCAGATGCTGGAATCGAGTCGTGGACTTGTAGACGCGAAGGGTTCTCAAGGACGTGCCGTCCACTTCGCAGACTCCTCTGGGCCGACATGCTGCGCTGCATCGGCGTCCTGCTTCTGCCTAGGTTTCTGACTTCTGCATAGAGCTTCCCTAAACAGTAAACCCTAAACCCTCCTTCCTAAACCCACCCGAAAGACGTTGCAGAGCATAGCCGCCCCCAGTCTGCGCAGAGCCTTCGTAATGCGCAAGCATGGTCTGTAAGAGACTCCGGCTGTGCGGCCCAGCACGTAGGCGGACGGTGCTTTGCGAAGGTTCTGTGCCGTCCATGCGCGAAGGAGGAGAAGCAGCTGGAAGGGAGCGCAAGCATTGCGTTCCTGCATTTGTTCACCACAAAAAGATGTCAAACTGTAGGGTTTAGGGTTTGGGTTTGGGGTTGAAGGCTTAGGGTTTGGGTTGAGGGTTCAGGGCTTTGGGTTTAGGGTTTAGAGGTAAGGGTTTAGGCTTTAGGGCTTCGGGGTAAGGGTTTAGTGTTGAGGGGGGAAAAAGATGGTTGCTATCAGGAAGCCTGTCGGGGCAGCCACGTAGCCCAGGACATCACGTTGGTTCGCTTACGGCAGTCTTCCCCAGTGCAACGCAGGAAGACCTGCCAGGGGATGTTTGCAAGAGACCGGCTAGACAGCCTCAGCTACAGTTTACAGGTGGGGACTATTAGCAATCGGCCTGCCGCTTGTTCCTGATTTGGAAGCGTCCGAGGGCGCAGCGACACTTGGAACATCGCTTGGGGGTCCTCCTGAGGAAGCCGAGACGTTGAAGTTCCTGGACCGCTTCTAGCTGGGTGTCGTTGCAAACTGTGGGCGCCGGCACTTTCCGACGGGTGCTGGGGCTGACGTCACGTCGAACCTTCTTCCGGTGGGGGCCACTGTAGTCTTGCTGAGCCTGGCGCTTGCGTTGCCCAAAGCAAGGCGTTCCGAGGCGAGGAGGCTTGCGCCCTCGTTGCGGAGACTGGACGGTCCCCTTGAGCTCCGCCAGACCCTTCTGTGCTAGCCACGTGGTTCCTTGTCTGGAAATACTACATCATGCAACATGCAACATACATGACCGTAGACATGAAATATGCAATGCAAGAGCAATCCGAATGGCAAAAGCAAGTGGTGTGTTGAAGATGCAGGATGAGTCCGAAAAGATCAAGCGGAGCAGCAGACTTTCATGCATTTTTCTAGCTGCTGAAGTCCTAGCTCTGCCGACGGAACAAGAAAAACGGTAGACCTTCGGCGTGATGGCGAATCTCCCTAGGGGCTTCCGCCAGTCGCGCCATGTCAAACGGCACGTGGCCCCAGCACCTGCGCCGGTTCACGTTGTCTGATCGCCAGAAGTTCCGGCATACCAGGCGGATCTGCTGTTGATACCTGGAGAGCACAAGATAGTTAAAGACGCGGAACACCGGCAAGAAACTCAAAGACAAGGAGGCATGCTCGTGCGGCACAGGAACGGCCCCGAGCGGAACACGTAGGGCACCATGGAGGCGCCGCAGCGCGAGCAGGCACTCCATTTAAAAGGACGACGAGCCTTCAAAGCTGTCAGGGTGGGCAAAACAGGGCATCCCTTCTGGGCGCAAGCCAACAGAGGTAGAGTCTGCTAGCATGGAGCCTGACGAGCGCGCGGAGGCGGACGTTCTTGAAGACAAGGCTGAGGAACCGGAACGTGTTCGAGAGGAGGCCCCTCAGCATGATCCTCGATGGGATCATCCAAGTCCTGACAGAGGGGTTTCTGAAATCTCGGAAGAAACGTGTAGATCCCACAGCCCTCTAACCCAATCTCTGCACGTCTGAAGAGGAAATCACAGCGGCAAGGCCTCAGTCTAAGTAAGCACAAGGAAACAAACTGGCAACAACACTGTCAGGCCATCTTTTGCAGTTCTGCTCCACGGTGTACAGTCTAGGGCTGCTCAGCACTGGGAGTCAGAGAACGTGAATGTTGCATGTCCGCAGAAAGCATGCCAAGCAAAACGAAATAATGATTCTCGAGTAGGGCCCTCACGGACATCCACATGTCTCGGGAAACGGCCGGTCGAGCGAGGGTGCTCTCCTCTCGGCTCAGCACGTCTAGAGCCGAAGACAGCCAATCACGAAGTTCCACTGCTGCATCCCTCCAGCAGGCTCCTGCATCAAGGATCAACTTCTCTTTGAAAGACATCGCGTTCGGAATGGAAACCATCGGAGGCAGCGCTACGGGAACCAAGCTCGCATCGACATCGACCATGACAGCGTCGTCATCCGGGCCCAGATGGCGTGCAGTGCTCAGAACAAAGAGAACAATCGCCAGGAGCTCGTGATCCAGATTTTCGGACTGGTCTTGCTGGTAGCGAAGGATGCGGAACAAGCCCATGGCAGCGGCGTAGACACGCGACCAGGGCCCTCCCTCGCGCAAGTGTTGCTGCACGACGGAAATGTCGCCATGTACTTGCAACAAAGAGTGGTGCAGAGCCAAAGCAAGGCTCACAACATAAAAGCTCGAGATGTCGAAGAGCATCCCACTGAAAAGAAAAAACTGCGGTATCGAGCACAAAAATAGCTGCGACAGCAACGAGAGCCTGGACGAACATATCCCGGCACTAGGCTTCTCTTCGCAAAAACAGATGCGACACAAAGACAGGTAGACCCTCCAGAAGGGAAGCAGCGAGCAGAAGGTCCTGCTGTTGCATGACGAAGCCAGAGGCAAGAGCACCAGGCGCCGACTCCTGTGTACATCTCGAAAGACTAATATGCACATTGGAAGAAAACAAAATATATATATATATGTATACATAGACAGATGAGGATGTAGATAGACATTATACATAATACATAGACATATGAAGATATATGCGTGAGGGCTTGGTACACGATATGTGGTATAACCTTGCTCCCCTCAGATGAGCTTGATGTTGTAGTAGAATGGTTTGCGAATCCAACGTTAACCCTTGCAGCTTCACTCGGTCCCGACCTTTTCACTGCGCCAGACGAAGTCTGTTGCGATCTTTGCAACAAGGCTGTACGCACCAGTTATGGCAGACGACAGGATGACTAGTGCCTGATCACTGTTTAGGCTTGTGCCGGTTTTCTTGAGCCAAACGCCGATATGAGCTTTGTGATCACATCCGTTCAGTGAACAAGGTTCTCCTGAACTTCAGTCTACCTTGATGGGGAAGCCCCTCTCAAGGTTGCAAACAAGATGGTTACATAGCGCACAAGCAGAATGCACAAGGCTTCGATGTCTCTTCACAATATAGATACATATACGTATATGTATCGACATAAATAATTAAACAAATCCTATATATATATATGTATACATAGTGTATTTGTATATCTATGTTTGGGATTTTTATAAGGCTTATAAGGTTTAGGGTTTAGGGCCATCACAAAACGATTGTCGAATATCCAGGAGGAAGCACCCACAACAGCTTCGGGCTCCTGCAAGTCCTTGAGCCTAGGATTTGGGTCGTAAGGACGGTTGAGGGTTTAAGCTCAGGGCTTAAGTAAGTTTAACTAAGTTTAGGGCAATCCAAGAATGTTTAGCAACCTTGCTTGATGTGGTGGCACAGTGCAATGTGCCCACCTGCATACTCCGGAGTGGCGCAGCGCGAGCAAGCGCGCCAGCTTGAAGATCATGTGGACTCCAAGAGGAAGCACCATCAGCAGCTGCGGCCTCCTGCAAGTATTGGAGCCCAGGATTTGGGTAAGAAACTCTGGGGCCAGAGTCACTGCAGTCCTCGGCATCGGAGCTGTCCGCAGCAGGCGTGTCCGGCGCCCAAGGTCGCGACCAATACCACATCTTGTAGCGGCGGGACCAAGGAGAATCGTAGCGATCCGGCTTGTCGGGCATGCCCTGCTGAGCACGGTGAAGCAAAAACGGGACGGGCTTTAGATGCACGTAAACATTAAACGGTTTAGGGTTTAGGGTTTAGGGTTTAGGGAAAAGCCAACGTGAACAAGGCACCGTCCCGGCATGGTACTCGAAGTGCTCCAGTTCAGGGCCTACAGGGCTTTGCCAATCCAATGGACGGCGACGATGCGGTGGAGTCTCTCTTCCGGAACTTGGTTCCAAACTGTCGTCGGGTGCAAGAGAGTTCACCAGGGAGGAAGACGGACTGGAAGCTTTGGGAAATGCCGAGGGAGCACTAGGAGCATCTGCCTCAGCAGCACCGGCATCGCTCTGCAAGCCGGAAGCACAGGATGGCAGTGCATCATCCTCTTCTGCGGAAACACTGCCACCCAGGGAATGCTCCTGACAGCAGTCATGTGAAAGGAACATTCAAAAGCAATCCTACCTGTTCAAACTGACAACCAACCCAGCCGTCGTCCTCATCTGTGCAAAGGAGGTCCCAGTCCAGATCGGCAAAGAAGGGATCCCAGGAAACGTCGGTCTGCACGGCAAGCCTGCTGCCCATCACTTCGGTCTCCACAGCAACTCTG